GTAGTAGTAGTAGTAGTAGTAGTAGTAGTAGTAGTAGTAGTAGTAGTAGTAGTTGTTGTTGTTGTTGTTGTTGTTGTTGGTATTGTTGGTGTTATTACTGCTATTATTGTTTGTTGTTGGTATTGTTTTTGTTGATGTTGATGATGCTGTTGTTGCTATTGCTATTGTTATTGTTGTTGTTGGTATTGTTGTTCTTGTTGTTATGTTGTTGTTGCTGTGATTGCTGTAGTTGTTGATTTTGTTATTGTTGTTGTTGTTTTTGTTATTGTTGTGGTTGTTTTTGTTGCTGCTGCTGTTGTTGTTACTGTTTTCGTTTCTGTAGGGATTGTTGCTACTGTTGTGGTTGTTGTTAATATTGATTTTTATCTTCTAATCGTAATTATAGCTTTTGACACAGCTTGTGTTTATTCTTGTTACTTTTTGTATTGTTTTATCGTTGTTATCTATCGTTGACGACTGACACGTTTGTTGTTGTTGAACCTATTAAAGTTATTAATTAAAATCAATCTAGTTGGTCGATTTTAAGCTCAAGGGAGCTATCACGAAAAATGCTGTTTCGAGAAAAACGAACATAAAGTTTTTGCCCCTCGTTCACTTTCTTTAAAAGACATGGAGAACTTTCTTTATAACCAAACAAATATACACATCAATGAAACCATACTTCTCCAATAGGAAGGGCAATGCTCACTTTTGGAGTAGGTCAAGATTTCTGAGAAATCCGGAAATCTGGGTTAGCCCTCTTGTCCTTACAAGCGACCAATTAAAACATGAACGAAAAGATAGAAGATACACAATCAATATCTGAATACGTCATAAAACGCGAACATTTTAATCATCATCTTTTGATCGACGTTTTGAGATCATTAGGTCACCTACACCAGTTCATCAACCCGCCAATTGTAATGAGGGGGAGTTATGGTTGCTCACTACCAGCCACAGACAAGATAAAAGAGGGGGTTTTGCAGCCAGCCTGGTGTGACTTTGGGAGAGAGGATCGTCAAAGGTAAACTCACTGGGGACGCTTATTCTAGTTATCTGACATCCTCAGAAGGCACATTATTTCAGTGGCTATTAAAAATGTAACTTTTGTTACGTGGGCTGAATTATTGATTATAAAAATAAAACTTTGTTTTTTTATACAGATTCATTGAACTCTGTTTTTTAAAATATAGAATTGAAATTGTAGATACTACATCCAAATTATGAAATATGTACAGTCAACTGTTTGATAAATGTATGACTGTTTGAAATAGGCAGCAAAAAAAATAAAATAAAATTCTCACTACTTCAGGATTGTGCTCAATGTAAATACTAAAAACACTATGTATGCTTCAATAATATTCATAGTAAAATTAAAAAAAAAAACGACAGCAAATGCTTGAGAGTAAAGGGAAAAGAAACGACAGCCTTTACGCAGGGAAAATAAAACTTTCTTGGTCTTGTGAGCCTCAAACCACACATTATTTTTATTGCGTCAACGTGGGTGTGAAAAATCTACAATTAATATTGATAATATGTGAGGCAGATTGGTGGAATCAGGCTCTCGTCAAAATAATCAAAGTGAAGAAACTTGCATTTTTCTGCTGGTTTGTGAGTTTTTATCAAATTTTTGTTTTTTTGGCTCAACACCTTTCATGCCCATTAAAGAACTCATTTCTGTGTGAATTTTGTGAAAAACATTAATTAATTAAAGGCACAAAAAATGTAAATTTTCAGTTACCAAGGACTCTTAAGCTAAGGAAATAACTAATCTGAGGCTGCCATTTTCTCACTAATTTTACCTCTGAAAACAGGTGACCCCCACCTCCTTCTTTCGCAAATATCTTGACTTATATTCAAGATAAATGGATATTTTTTTCATCCAAATAAACACAAGTGAACAAGCTTTAAGATGATACCAATAACTCTACCTGTCCAAAAATTGACGAGAGCCTGATTCCACCACGCTGCCTCACATATCATAGATCGAGCAATATCATAACCGCCTATCTTCGCTCAGTTTAAAAACTTCGCTGCAAAGTGTAGACACAACGGGTGCCCAAATGAAGGACAAGCACCAGTCTCACTATAGTCGAGTGTGCTTAGCATCTTGTTCCCTTTGCCCTTCACTAGTCTCCAAACTGAGTCAAATAGCCCGTCTCATGGTAAACCGGAATTACGTCAGAGTGCACGATCTAGGATTTTATAATACAAGCTTCTAGAGCTAACAGACAGTGAACTCTTTTACGACGTAATGAACACATGTCCGGTCAGCAGCGCCTAAAGGCAAAGTTACTGCACATTTCGAACCTTCATACACACATAAGCACTACACATTTGCATATGTTAATGTATACATGTTGTTGCCTGCCTTTTTATGTTTTAAGTAATGGGATCAGAATTGAAAAAGAAATTGGCGCGAATAACGAGGTAAAGCATCTTTTTTAAAAGTACCCCAAAACAGCACGCTCTCAATGAATTATGGAAAGGGTAAACTACATCTCTACGAGCGCAATCATTGGTCGTTTACGAATCTGGAGGTACAAACATGTTTTTAAATAACATCGACAGTCTCTTTGTCCGCTGTGCAAAACAGTGAAATAGACTAAATGATAGCTCTGGATGGTATGGCTTGTTTAGATACTTTATCAGCAAACCCTTTTACGTACGTTGAGACAGAAAAAAAAGAGAAATACTAAGCTGGGAAGGGGAGTGCGATGAAAGGCGACAGCATAGCCTCTGGGAATAAAAATCCCGACCTGTTGATTGAAAGTTCCCCCGTCTTGCCATTAGATCCAGATATATTATATAATTATTGTTATGTCATTGGTAAATGTACTAGCTCGCGGGGTGGAGGCAAGGGACGAGTGGAAATAATAATTTCATTTATTGAAAAAAAATTATTTTCACTCATTTATACACTTACTTATTACTTCATAAACCATCGATACATATACATGTAATGCATGCATCATAACCCTATCTTTGGTCGAAATTTACTTTCTCTACTTTTGCTTTACAGAGAAAAGAAAAGAACCCTACAATTGTATTACAGCGCCATGTTCCGTTTCGCGCTCCTCGTTGTGTGTATCCTGGGTCTGGTACACGCCTATAGCAGGGGTCGTAATGTGTATTACAGAACCTGTTACGGCGGGAAGTATGTCAACTCACTCGTCAGTGTGGAAAACAGTCGCTATGCTGATCGCCTACTGGGCATTAAATGCGGAGGAAACGAGGCCTATCGAGACTGTGCATGGAGTTGTATGTATTCAGTGTATTACATGTACATGTATTGCTTGTCCGGTATTTAATGGAAGATTGAGGGGTGGTGACGTAGGTCTAGAGGCTGGGCCACCGGAATGGCAATCATGAAATTGAGGGTTCGGTGGTTCGAGGCTCAGCCTGGTTAGATGCTGTGCCCTTGGGAAAGGCACTTTTCATAAATGTTCCCATCGTCTCGGCCCAATCGGACGTGGCCTAATTAAATTTAGAGGTCCCTCCTCTTAAGTAGCCTTACAGTATTGCAGGGGCGTTAAATCTGTGCAATTTCAGGATGGAAGAGATGTATTCAAGAACTGCATTTGAGCTATTTTGCTAAGTGGCAGAAAGACAGACGGGAAGAAAGGAAGGAGAAAGATGTATACAATAACATGTAGTCACTAAGATGTAAAAGAACAGGGAAATTAAAGAAGCATATTAAAATTGCTTGTCAGATACATCCTTTATCTTAGTTTTAGTAAGAGTTTTACAGCATTTGCAACGTAAACAGGTAGGTCATAACAAATGCTTACTGGAGAGTGACACTCTAGGGCGCCCGTCAACCACCCACAGGTACATCTGTGTAATTTGCTTGAGATTGATAGAACATTGGACAGTTTTTTTTAAAGTAAATGTTTTTTCCCCCTAACGACGCAATTAGATAATTTAGAAGGTAGTTTTATACTTCTTTGTTTTGTTCGTTTATCCTTCCTCTTGTACCTCTAGGGCGTCGAGGGGAGAAAGAGCTTTCTGTCTCTAGCAAGCTAGATAGCCTGGCTGGGTGGGATGTTGTGTGTTTTTAGGGTATCCTTCACACCCTTGGCCTTCTTTGGTCTTTTTCTTACCACGTGCCCTGATATTCTTTTGTATTTCGCTTGACTGGCAAGCTGGTGAGGTACCATACGCGTCAGATGGCCAAGCCACATGATTGTTTGACTCTGAATGTAGTGGAGGACAGGTGGTGGGTGCTCCCATCATTTTTCTGATCCTGTTGTTTCTGATCATGTCCCATGTGGTTTTGTGGACGGCTCTCCTTAGACATCTCATCTTACGTTCCAGACCTTTGGTCAAGGTCTTGTTTGGCATTGCGGTCAAGGTGGGGATGAAGATAGCGTTAATGAGCCTGGCTTTGGTCTCAATGGGGATGTTAGGATGTTTGAAGAGTGGAGCAAGCTGGTAGCTGACGCTGTTAGCCTTTTGTACTCTCGTCTCAATTTCTCAGTTGAGATGTCCGTTTTCCGAGAAGATACTGCCAAGATACTTGAACTCGATGACTGTTGCCAGGTGTTCTGCTTACTTTCATCGTCTCGTATTTGCCTTTGCTCATTTTCATATTGAGCTTTTCGCACTGTGTATTCAGTCTGTCCTGGTTGAAGCAAATTATAGAAAACAACTTATCACGAATATAAGAAAACAAGAAAACGACAGGCAAATTTTTTCGGACACACAATGCGGAAAGAAGCATTAGAGAACATTGTAACAACAGGAAAGTTTGATGGAAAGAGAGGTAGAGGCAGACAGAGGGAAAAGATACTGGACAAGATGACAACATGGCTGGGAGCAGCAAGAACAACAGACACCATTGCTGCTTCGAAAGACAGAGGGAAGTGGAGGTCCATGATCGCCCACGCCAGTCGGCAAGGCACCGGATGATGATGATGATTCAGTCTGTCTAGGTGCTCTCGAAGTTGCTTTTCTTCCTTATAAGCCGGGCTTTGGTCATTTGCAAACAGCAGCTCATTCGGGTCTTTCGTGTTAGGGTTAGCTTCTTTTGTAATTTTGTCTACGAATATGATGAAAAGTGAGAAAAGTAGCGGGTAATAACACACACCCTTGTTTCAATCCTGTATTTTACTTAAGAAGTTAAAAAGAAGTTCACTTATTTCAGTTGCATTAACGAAAAATTGGTCCATCTCCCCGAGTGTTCGTTGCATTTTCTTTCTGTTTGACCTCTCTTGTCTTTTTCTTGTCTTTTTCTCGTCTTTTTCTTGTCTTTTTCTTATCTTTTTCTTGTCTTTTTCTTGTATTTCTCCACTTCCTTTCTTTTGTCTATTACTTGTTTCCTTTCTTTTTCTTGTTCTTCGTGTCCTTTCTTTTTCTATCATTTGGTTCCTTTCTTTAGTCCGGTCTTCGTTTTCATTCTTTTTTCTTGAAGCTATTTTCAATTGGGATTATTTTTCTTTTCCAGCGGCTGGCTATGGGTGGGGATTTTCGCTTCACTTCCTATGCCCTGGGAACAGAGTCCTCTTCGGCATGCAGACGACCATTGACAGTGCGAAGAAGAGAAGTTACACCTTTTACTGCTGCGATATAAAAGGTGTGTGCGTGTGTGTGTGTGTGTGTGTGTGTGTGTGTGTGTTTGTGTGTGTGTGTATGTGTGTGTTTGTGTGTGTGGGTGTGTGTGTGTGTTTGTGTGTGTTTGTGTGTGTGTGTTTGTGTATGTGTGTGTG